CCCCAAAACCCCAAAACCCCAAAACCCCAAAACCCCTTTTTAATATAGCCAAGTTGAAATATAATTAACTTTTAATGAACCAGTTTATCTTTAATTCAAAATTTCTTTATATCTTTTCAAGTCTTCCTTGATGTTCAGCAGCTTTTGGACCTGTGGGCTGATTTGGTGCTTGATTTCATCTTTTGAGAATTTTACATCGTAGTTCTTCATATGCTCTTCCTCCATTTTTCTCTCAAGTTTATATTCATCTGTTTGGCTCTCGATGGTCTTCTTGACTTGAGTTACTCTATCATTTAGCTCTTCGATCTTAAGAAGAATCTGCTCTTCTTTTTCGCTCAAAGGGGCGTTTACTTTATTCTTAAGCTTTTCTGTGATTCTTTCTATCAAAGTATTGATTGAAGAGTTATTCTGCAAAACTTTAGTATTTTGAGACATCATCTCCTTCTGTTTCTGCTCAATTAAATCCAGCTTGCTTTCAACTGAAGTCTGCTTTGATTTATTCAGTTTCTTTAACTCATCAACATGGGTTTTCCTAGATTCCATATCCTTTGAGAATATCTGAACTTCTGTGACTACATCCTCTGTAAATTCTTTAGCTTCTTCTGAGAATATCTTCAAAAACTCTTTCTTCTCAAGTTTCTTTTTCTCCCCTTTCAGCTTCACTGGTTCAAAATGAGGAAGTTTGAATGAGTCATATCTTGGAGGATTAACTTGGGATATAGATTCCTTAATAATCTCATCAAGATTGGGCTTTCTCTTGAGAATTTCATCAACTTTCTCTTGAATTTCATGGTAATCACTATCATTAAAATTGAATATTTTTAAATCAACCTCTCCTTTCTGCTCTTCAGATGTCAAACTTCTGAGAATTAGCAAGGAGTTTCGAATAGACTGAATCCCCACACATCCAGTGTGGTCAGAAGTAAACTCATATATCACCTTTGCTTCAGTCAACCTCTGAGGATTGTATTCGAATACATTTGACTCAAAATTAGAGCTTTTCAGCTGACGGTAAATATCTGAGAGCCAAGGAAAGCAGATTTTAGTAAAGTATTTCCCTCTAAGATGGTATACCACAAAGGGATTTGTTGAATCTTTCTGAAATTGCTGGGCTCAGTCTGAAATTTTCTCACTGTTCATAGAAAGATTAATTCCTTCTTTAATAACCCAATTTACTAAAGAATGCTCTTTTTCATTCTCAAATAGAGGAGATGGCTCTTCAAAACTCACTTGAATAAATGCCTGGCTTTTCAGGTTATAAGAAATAAAAACTTGAGGGTAAGTATCAAGGGCTAAGATACCTTGAAACCCGCTTTTTGAATTACTGTTCAATAAAGGATTATTCACTGGTCCTTGGAGCTCAGGAGCAAAATTAGTCACTTCCTCTTCACTAAGATCAACGATAATAGTGGAGTCATCATTAAAAATTGGCTGTTTTACAGAATTCAAATGATTTATTAACTCAAAAGCAGTATTACTCTTGACACCTTTTTCCAAAAGCTTATCGAAAAATACCTTCTCAATTCCAAATTTTAATGGCAACAAAGGAGTGAGGTAGTATACTTCTCCTGATGCAGTAATGAAATATCAAGTCAAAATCTGCCAGCCAAGGACTGATTTTGATCCAAAATCAAAACCTGTAATCTTGCTATTTTTGAGAGATGGAAGACCCCAATTCTTTCTTCCTTCTCCTAGGCCACTATCAGAAGGAGCTGGAGAGAGTGTTCGATCAGTAAAAGCATTATCAAGGGAATAGTTTAGATCATACATCTTAAAATTGTTCCTATCATTCAGAATACACAATGTATAAGGAGTTAGCGGATGAAATTTCACATCCAGGAAATATTCAGTAGTATCAATATTTCTGGGATTGTTCTTACAACCAATCAACTGTAATTCTGGAATGAATTCTTCTTCAATAAGAGAAATATCATTGGGGATAGCTATAACTCCAACCCAATGGCTGCTAATTATCGTCAAGATATTCTCCCTCTGGTTCAGTATTACTTTGTGTGGGATATATTTATCTTTAAGTAAGAATCCTTTATCACTTGATTCATAATCTAAATCTCCAACTCCAGCTTGCACATTATCCAAATATTGTATTTCAATAGTTTTGTAGCACTCTCCTTTCTTCTCTTCTTCTTGTGAGCCCTCCTGAACCACGTCCAAGTCGATAATAGTCATGAAAAGTCCTGCTTTGGAGTTCTTATCGTTCTTGTTTCCTTGTGTAATCACTAATAATTCATTCGAACAACTCTTGATTGTGAACAACTGGTTTGACAAATTCAGGTTAGGAAGGAAAGTGTGATCTTTTAATGCTGCTTGCAATATATCGGGAGATTTAAAAGAATTTAGAGTATTCAGATCTTCCATTTAAAAGGCTAATTATATAAATCAACTTCATTTAGATTTTAAGGGGTTTTGGGGTTTTGGGGTTTTGGGGTTTTGGGG